TTTCGCTCCACACGAAACAGTTCTGTATGCAATAAACAGAGTCAAAATTTCTACCGTGTCCGTATAACTATATATATATATATATATAATGATGATTGAGTAACTAATTGTTAATATTTATTTAATTTTAGTAATAATAAAGAATGGTTAAGGGTTTTGTGTTTAAAATTATTTAATTCACTTGCTCACTAGTTCGTCATGTTATAACGCTTTTTTGTAATCGTCAGCAATTCCCGAATAACCTTTTTAACTTACTAATAACCAGCCAAGTTACTTTACCTTATATACTATTATAATAAGTATGATTGGAGGAGGGTGCTGCCTCGACGAACAGAGCAACGTATAGCGTAACAAAACAAAAACATCAGATCGAATAACGACGAATTATACACGTGTTTTTTAATATCAAAATATAGCAATTTATTCCATAATCAAGTAAACTTTTACAACAATAGTACAACTAAATTCCATAAAGCAATCTGGTATTAGCATCGCCTCCGTATAAAAGCTAGGCAGCATCACAACAACTGACGCGTGCGTGCTGTCACGCGCTGATGATACCCCCGCGGCGGCAGAAAGCAAGAAACCCTCCTTCACTATCACCATCCTGCACGCACTAGCAACACAAGAGGCTCCTTTCTTCCTTCTCACCGCTCACACGAAGTCACAATAGAGTCACAAATACAGCCATACACGGCCATTCTCTAGTACCTATCAACAACCCATCAACGTTGCATCATCCGCTGGCCTCCTCTTCTCTACTATCATCCCACAGGACTACAGCCACACCTGCATGACTTCAGGCCCTCCTCCTCCTCCTCCTCCCTCCACCGCGTCCACGACCCACGTCCACACCATCCGAAGCCATCCTCATCGATGTTATATCCAGTCAGTATCGCTATATACCGTGGCCTCTCTCTACATTACCACGTTCTTTCACAGCACGGGCACGAGCCTACGTGTACACGTCACGCCACTCTACACCCCTCTCTGCATCGTATGCCGCGATACTTGCCACACTCCTCTTCTTCCTCCTCCTCCTCCTCTTCATCCCTCCTCCTCCTCTTCCTCCTGTTCCTGGTCGCATTATGCGACGTCAGTTACATCGCTGGCCTTCCCGCTATCCGACTTCTACTACCCCACGTTCTAGACACCCTGGGCTGTGAACACCGACCAACCGACCAAATGATTGCCTATGAAACATACCGGCTCCTTACAGCCGGTAAGAGATCACACCGGGGCTCACTTTCTACCATTCACTTCATTTGCCAAGGCGACGGGTGGCAAGCCTGGCATGGGGTATATTCGCCATCTTTGCACGCGTGGCTACAGCCAGCAACCGCCTACGAGTTGTTGGAAGGTGGAGACTGCACGGTGGCGCCTCAGCGCTCACTTACGCGATCACTCGCGTTAAACCACAGGACGAGAAAAGAGAACAGTGGCCTGCGAGATACGAACATTTTCAGCGAGAAAACTTACAGCAAACGATAACAACGAACGTACGGGGACTTACGAAAGTGCCGTACGTCACACATTTAACAAGTTTTGGTTGAAGTCAGCTTTGCACTAACGACACACACTCATAATAGTCAAGCAAAAAAGTATATCACCCCACACACCACGAAAGCAATTGTTGGATTTGTTGATCGGATCTACTTGCTAAAAAGTTGAAATGTACCGACAAATCGAAAACACAGCCCTTCATTCATTTCCTGTCACCGCTGAATCAAACCAGTTCACGGCAAGAGCTAAAGTGCCCAAATGTGGCAAAAGTGCTATCGAGAGCTTATCCGACGAGTTATGTGCACAGGTTACAAACAAGCGATGATAAACAGTTGGAATCTTGGCGAAACACAGAGCTGTGCGCGAACGCAGTCCAATCACCTCGACACAGCAACAAATGTACGGTGGCTAGCAGCTGCTGCAAGCACGGTGACCACCAACGTAAAAATGAAACGAGATTAAAAACGGCGCAAATTAATTATCGACGACATTCAAACGCTGGAAGACAACACGACTCGAGAAAATGTTTCTATTCACAGACCAGTGCCGAAAAAGGAGATCGATTTTGTGTTCGCAAACGCGATTAACTCTGTTCAGTACTATACAAATTTACAATGCTATACCGACGTTCTCTTGCACTAGGCTCGACTTTACACGTGACAATTATTCGTCACGGTCCACGTATACAGGTAGCATGCTCGACGCCCCTTGCTACTCTATCTCATGTTATCACCGGATCCCAACGTGGGAGCTTCTCCGCAATCACTCTGTCCTCAGCAGACGTGGAACAGGAGCAAGATACAGCACAACGTCTTTTTAAACTTTACATCACAGCCTTGAAGAATGTACTCGCTCCCGCCCACGCTCTCACATCTGCTGGAGAGACGCGCTGAGCTCATCCCGCATGCAGTCTCGCGGTGCCGCCCCCCACACAGACGTTCATCGACGAACCTTGCCGATGCAGGCGCCTCCTCTCTCTTCCTACACTACCGGGAAGTCCATGCAGGCAGTGAGCTTGCTCAGTCCATGCCTCGCATGGAGACACGCGAGTTGTGGAGGAGCAACGGCAGCAGTACGTGCACTGGCGACGTCCCGTTGGTGACGGCGTTCGCCGTAAAGCCGCAGACGTGAAGCGCGACAATCACAGCCAAGCACACACCTTCACCGACGACACAACTCGACGGTCGTCATCGTCGACATCCTCCGTCGACATCGTCGGCAAACCTGCCCGGCACGTCTCCGCAAAACCACGGGTAGAATCCCGCCGATTATCGCCGGTCACTGCCACACGTGCGCGATGGGCTAGTGTGGCGCCGCCCCGCATCACTTCCGGAGATCCAGAACGAAGACCTGGAAGAGGGAAACAACTCTCACTAGTCGTGATTACACGTGCACTGAAATTTTACAACGAGAAGACTTGATTCAAATAGGACATTACGTTTGAAGTGTAACTATGTTCGAGTTTACTCAGGCTGTTACTAAGAAAGGTTTGCAATAAACTCATGGAGGACATTAATTAAAGATTCTCACTTTGCGGATGTTATGTAAACCCTATAAAGATGTACTCACTGAACCGTCTGATGCACTTGCTCCAACTTTGTCACCCCATGAATTCCAACAGACCTCGAATATTCCACCTGTGCCTTTGTAACTGTGGACTAAAGACCCCGACTGAAAGAAAACAAAAGAGAACATGTTGAATACAGAATAGGTTCGGACGTTACTTGCACTGCATCACACGACAACATTAATACCAATTCATTAGAAAATTATTTTTAATATATACAGGGTTCGTACATCCAAGACACCACCTTTTTGTGCAGGAGTTCTTGGACTTAAACGGGACCATTTACCACAATTGCGTGATTTTATACGTATACAATCTTTGTGCTTTATATTGCCCTACCAGTGATTAGTGAACAACTTCCACGAAGCAAATTTTATTTCCTCTCAGGAAAGGTACATGTAGTAAATTTCAAAGACATTCTATGACCAAACATCGAAAATAGTTAGTTTTTAGGGTTTTCTGGGATGATAACCTAGTTTCCAAGATTATCCAGTGACACAGCTCATTTTCCAGGACTATAAAATGACAGAACTTTCCAGATTTCACACCACCGGTACAAAGCCTCAGCGGCATTTCAACCACTGACCAATAACTGCAAAACATAACTTACAAGAAACAGGAACTCATCCCATTGACAAGTACCGGGCTATTTACCTGTACAGACCATATGTGAACACACTTGTCGAAGGAGCCGCTGGCTAAGTATTTGCCATCTGGGCTGAATGCTACACTATAAACAGGTTCTTGATGCTTGGTCAGCGTGTGCTTGCATACTCCCCGCTCAACATCCCACAACCGCACACTCGAGTCAAATGAAGCACTGCAAAATGTCATATGCACGACTGATTAACTAAGCAGTAGGCATATATTTGTGATCAATTACATTCCTTTGTCCTGATGACATGAGCTTATATTAACTATCAATCATAGGGACTTTTGCGAATAGACAAGCAGATAGGGAATGCAGTTCATATTTTCATTGAAGATGAATGAACAGAGATAAGAGCTTAACATCTCTCTGCAGTATGGCTGGCATGAGGAATCCGCCATACCTTGCTGGAAGACAGCACAAACACACTCAACTAGCACCAACACAAACGCAACTGGTGGGCCCTAGCACATACCTTGCTAGAATAAGGTTGGCATTAGGGTTGTTTGTGCCTGGGCCAGTTGGGCTCCACTTGATTGTGTATATTTCTTTTGAATGTGCCTGGAGGTTATGTACCCACGAATCATGCTTCTGGCTCCAAATCTGTAAAAAAATAGCATTGCAAACTAAACAAAACAATTGCATATACTGTATGTGTATAAAACACAATACTGCTTCAACTTTAACATTACACCCAACACATGATGTACATCCAGTGGCTAGCAGTTTAGAAATTATTATGTATCAAAGAGCCAACCCTTTAATCATTAATGATGTGAAACTGCAGCAGTAGCTAGTGTAACATCTATGAACAGCTTAGAAACGTTTCAGATCTTTTCGACTACATACACTGCCTAAAAATATCCCCATTATGAATTTCATTCTAGTTTCCTTCTTGGTGGTAGAAAGCGAGATTGAGAGAGACATAAACTGAGAAAACGATATATATATATATAGAGAGAGAGAGAGGGGGGGGGAGAGGCAAGGAGAGAGAGGAGAGGTGGAGGGAGCGGGTGAGGGAGAGCAAGCGGGAAAGGGAAAGGGGGGAGATAGAGAACACCATGACCTAGCTAGAAATATCTAGATGTCCAGTTAATTAGGACTGTCCATAGAATGTGAATACCACATTAGCATAATCCACTAAATATGCTTACCTTCAATGTCATGTCGTCAGAACAAGATGCTAACAAGATACCTTGCGGATCCCACTTGATCGCATTCACCTCGTTCTGTAAATTATGTTAGAAACAACTTTCAATCATTAGCAATCTGTTTAGCATACTCACCTTTTGAAAAAAGAAACACATGCCTGGCAACTAACTTACCAACATGATTCTCTGAACACTAGCTGACCACAAATGCATAAGTAATATACCTTCTCATCATACCAGGGTATCACCACAGTAGCTGTAGCTGTGGTCTAGCACAGCGGGTATGTACAGTGAGTATGTATAGCATATATAGCATGCTATGTATGTGTCGAACCTTACCGTGTGCCCCTGGAATGTCTTCACCGGTTTGTCAACGCCGAGTTTGCACACGTGTATACGTTGGTCGGTTGAACATGATGCAAAGCTGATGTTGCTCTGCCAGTCTACGTCCAGCGCAGGGGCTAAAACAAAATAGCCAACGGTCAAGTCGCTGCTGCCCATATTGCAGGCACATACCAATAGGCGGCATTTCTACTTTAGTCAGATTCACAAACAATAATTATATTAGATGGCATTCAATGATATTGAATGACAATTTTAAATTCATTTAACTCACAAGTATTGTGAATTTATCCATATTTCCATGAAAAAATACCGACAAGATGAAATGTATCAGTTCCAACAAAATTCGGAAATGGCTTAAAAAATGCTTCAGCATTTCGTAGTCACATCCTTAGTTAGGTTAACAGTAGATTATTTGCCAGAAAATATATATATGTGACCCGCTCCAGCATAATACGGACTAAGTCGCAAGTCATTGTATTGAGTAATGAGCACATGTCAATGCTGAAAATGGCCTACCTGGACAAAAAAGAGATTTTTACAAAAATAAGAAACTTTGCCCGTTTTACGTTGACAATTCCTTGCGGTATTATTGATCAGCTGTCCTACCTTACTAATATAAAACAAACCGCTTGTCCCTACGATGCCCCTACGCTGAGATAATGAGCGGTGAAAATCTGGTATTTTTGCCGAAACCCGATTCGAGATCCCTGTTGGCTGTGACCCTCTCTCGCTTTGAGATAGCTTCAGGGAACCTCACGTGTTTCCGTCAATGATTGACAAATGGAATGAATGACATCTGTTATTGATTGCCATAGTGATGACCCCCACCTGTGCCCACCTCACACTGGATGTATAGTAAACTCTGTAGTACTGACGCAAGTCAGCGCTACCATGGCGCTACACAGTGGCAACTGGAAGCAATACACTGGCCACAAAACGAGAGAGGGTCACAGCCAACAGGGATCTCGAATCTGGTTTCGGCAAAAATACCAGATTTTCACCGCTCATTATCTCAGCGTAGGAGCATCGTAGGGACAAGCAATTTGTTTTATATTAGTAAGGTAGGACAGCTGATCAATACTACCACAAAGAATCATCAAAATAAAACGGGCAAAGTTTCTTAATTCGACTAATACTGCAACATGGTTTTAGCATTTCACCGTTGTACGCTCTCCTTCTTAATACGCTCTTGATAGTATGCAAATAGAGTAACAGAGAATTTAACAATAGACACTTTAGAACATGTCGTAATAAGTATGAAACACTCACCAGAATGAAAGGCAAACTGTTGTGTACAGTGACCTGAGCTGGCATCCCAAATTATTGTTGTCTGCAATACACGAATATCACTCTATAAATATTGATGTAAAATTACTATGTAATTTATGCTAGTTATACATATTAATTTAAATTTTGCACTTTACTGCATTACAGTATGCACGGGGCAAGGTTGTGGCCATGTTGCATAAATACGATTGGCAGTTCACAGGCATCGATTACAATATTCCGGAAGCAAATAAGAGCTATAGGGGGATATATATAGGGGTGATAATGTACTCCCAATAACATGTGATTATATAATATCAGATTAGATTACAATATATTACATTACATTTCATTCCATTACATTGCACTGCTTATTCACTTTATTGCTGATTTATCATGACAAATATAGCTCTTAGACTATCACTTGTACGTGTACAATATGAACAAAACAATTCATAAACCACTATACGCTTACCCTATCCACGCCTGCGCTTAAAATATAATTGCCTTCCTTATTCCACTTGAGTGCAAAGATTGGTCCTTTGTGTTGCCCCAGTGTACTAAATAGTCGCCCTGTGGAAAAAGAACATCATATAGTAATATATCAACAGACGTTGCAAACGTAATCTAGAAGTCAGTGCAGATTATAATTTTACATTAATTACTTTATAACAACATAATTAACTTACTGATATTATAACTTTTTTTTCACAATTACTTTATAAATACATAAATTAACAACACGCTTATACATTACATAATAACTTAAGTCACTTACCCTCTGTTGTCCATATTCTAGCATAACCATCATATGAACCAGTTGCTAAGAATTTGCCATCACACTGTAAAAGTAAAACAATATAATATAACAAAATCCAGATGCACAAACGGTAATTATATTATTATAAACTTTTAGTTGAACTCCATGATGTTCATACGATATTGCTAAATTTTCTTGCTTATAGAAAGAAATAGCAACAAATAAAATGCATCTTTAAATATTGACTGACTGAATAAAGTTAGGTAGAGTAAGTTGGTGTGAGGTGGGTGGGTGCAGTATGAAGGGCAGTATGAGGGGGGAGTATGAAAGATGAGGTCTGTCTGTCAGTCAATCTGTCTGTTTGATTGTCCAACTGTGTGCATTTAAACAACGTTATGAGACATGGCATATCAGTACGTTAGCATAGAAAAATGGATGTGAAATCCTATACAAAAGGCATGTTTTAGTGAATACATGTACTCACGTTCCAATCTAAGCAAGTGACGTCTTTATTACTAGGTACTTCTGTGCCACCGCGTTGTATACAGTGCTGCAATACCAACTGGTTCGCGCTATTACTGCTGCCGTTCATGTTCCATATTCTAGCTGTCGAATCCCCTGAACTGCAAGGTGGATTGGACATAAAGAGAACATGAAGTGAATAAAATAGATTATGGATTATGTTAATAATGTATACATTCTGTACTGAAGATAAACTGCTGTACACCGAGTGTAAATATTCTTAAGTGCATCAAATTGTTTTACTAATGGACTCGTGCCATTCTACAGCTGTTATTATTTTATCAAGTACAATTTTGCTACGCTAGTGATTCTAGATGGCAGCACTCACCCTGACGCAAGAAGATCAATTTTGGGATTCCACGCACAGATGAATACTTCGGATTCATGACCACGGAGTACTTTAACTTTATTAGCGGGTATTTCCAGCGAGTCGTCAATCTCCATAGACTCAACATGATTTGCTTAAAAGAAGAAAAAAAAATACGCACTTTATTCTACTACTGCTGCTGTCATGTCATACAGATGTGCACAAGCTAAAATCTCCCTGCCATAAATTTATTGCAATAACGTTTCGGATACGATGGTTATCTTCGTGCTGGGCATAACCTAGCTCTAGCACTATAGCCCGCGTACGGCAGTCAATGTACGCGGGCTATAGTACTAGAGCTAGGCATAACCCAAATGCTACGCAGAAATCCCACGCATGGGAGCAATTCGATTTGCGCCACGCCATTATATCCCAGCAAATTATTTTAAAGCCTAAGATGATCATCACACACAATTCCATTTCTACCTTTACGCGGGAAATTGGGATATTGAAATTGGCAGGCCACATTACAGCACCGCTTCTCGACCACTCTGCGCACAGCACTGCACACTACTCACACACGACACTCTACTCACAGCAGTGTAAGCGCACAACTCGGCTAGGCGGGGTACGACACCGGCTAATATCAGAAATATAATATCATGCGCATATTTTCGCAGAGCTATATATACAGCACGTGCGCGGGCTGTACCTTATAATGCTAACAAAGACGAATGCAAGCCGAAATGCAGACGAAGTCTTTCCTAACATGCCGTATAGTCGCGCACAACACCGCGCAAAAACTACCCCATAGAAAACTAGCGATTTGGTTTTGCCTCAATAAACGTGCCAGTGTATTGATTAATCCATTGATCCAATGAATTAATCCCAGCTCATTTTTGTGAGCAACTGATTGATGGGTGCCTGTATGTATACAAATGTACACATAATCGCATATGCAACAACGAGGACCGACCGCAAATACAAAGAACACTATTAACCTTCAGTAACATTCAGTAAGCTGCATTTATTCAAGAATCGCATTCTGTTTAAAATATAAACACCATATTCTATATAAATTCATATGTCAAATTCATATGTCGTATTCAGATGTCTACTACCCCATCACGAACACGAACTTCAAGTTCAACGCACTCAACATAGATGAACAAAATTTACATGAAACGTGTTTATAGCGACTAGTAATTATTGAAGCACTATAGCATTCATGCTCTCAACTTCTTCTCTGCACTTCAATACGAAGCATGGCTGCTACAAAGCTAGAGTAATACATTTCTACAGACGCGTTGACCTTGAATTTTCCGTTAGGTTCATAATGCCATTCATTGTATGCTAGATTGCCACGCTGAAAACACGTGGGTGTTTAATATCTTATATACGCAAATGTGTTTATATCCTGAACTGAAACGTTCACTACTACTACTAGCTATCACCAAGTGCGACCTGCAAGCAAACCGCGTGGCACGCTGACACATTCCACCAACGATCACACCCACTCTCCACCCAACATTTACCAAATCAGGAACGGTCTAATAAAATCTTCCCCCAAGCTAATATGTCTGAGAAACAGTTTTTCTTAATCGGTTATCCATCTACACCATCGACTGATTTCTTGAGTCCCTGCCTGCCATCACGTTTATTATTGCCGAATTATGGAGACAGACTACACATGATAGGGAAATGACACAAATTCAATGACAATTCTTGCGCCTAAAAGCGGAGGATGACGCTACGATCTGCTATTTGCCTGTAGCGTTTATGAATGACGCTCCCCTCTACACATGATCACCACACCCATCATACATCCACGTTGGCATACTGCGGATTGACCTACAATCCCGTGGCCTCCACATCGACTTTCCCACGCCCGCGGGGTTTATGACCAAGCAGCGAGAAAGTAAGAGAGAGAGAGAGAGAGGGGAGGGGGAAGGAGGGGGAGACGGAGAGAGAGAGAGAGGAAGAGAGAGACAGCGTATGTGTGTGTGCGCGTGCGTGCTTGCGTGTGTGTGTGTGTGTGCGTGTGTGCTTGCGTGTGTGTGCTTGCGTGTGTGCTTGCGTGTGTGTGTGTGCGTGTGTGTGTTCGTGTGTGTGTGTGTGTGAGAGAGAGAGAGAGTGAGAGTGAGAGTGAGAGCGAGAGAGATAGAGAGGGGGGCGGGAGAAAGAGGGAGAGCACACTATAAGCAGTCATTGCTAGCTACCTTTCACAAACAAAGTCGCATCGTAGCACCTGTAATACACTAGTTTCACTTCACAAACTTTATCATACGTTTAAAACCAGGTAACAAACCACGATCTGGAAAGAGACCTATAAGGGTTGGAGTCCACGCAGGCAAATTCTCACCGACTAACGGAGCCAGGCTAAGGTGCGACCACAGCAGAGAGTGGAGTGCATGTGTCTACTGTGATATCAGGAGTCTATCAATCTATTGATAGACTCCTCGTGATATTACTTACTTAGAACATGGTCTTCGCCATTCGTGTTCAGTGCCTCAGTTTTGACCAGGGGCACCTTGACGATGTCTTGCTGTCTGGACGCTATGACGTCAGGCATCACGGCATCGATCAAGGACAACGACTCGATCGCTTGCTCTGTGCCATCCTGCAATGAAACAAAAGTCAACGCAACATGAGTTGATGCACTACGATCAGGAGTAGATAATAGGGAACCCTAGTTAGTTCCTTAATAGTTCCCTATTATCTACTCCTGACTAGGATGCAGCATGTCACGTGACGACGCACCGTGAGAAAATGCACGATGAACCAGTACATAACGCAGCAATTCACCACGAGACAACCCGCAATAAAACCATTCCCCGTGAGATAACGTATGATGGGACTACGTACTGTAAATACAGCACATCACGAGATAATACACGATGAGACATCACACCACGAGACAATAAACCACGTGACAGCACACTAATAAACTATGTAGTATGTACCATCATATCGTGGAACAATACACTACGAGGCAGTCACAATCAGATACCAAAACGGGTAAACATGAAACAACGAACTATGAATGCAGTTTGAAAGATTTCACTGCGGTGCACGAACACTGCAAGACAGCACTACTTTAGTACAACATACTAATCACGTAACATGTGCAGACTGCTGTCTGTCATGTGACATGTGCAGATTATTTACGTCACTTGACCTATGTACTCTGCAGGGTCACATTACTAGTACCTGTGCAGGCAACGAGTCACAGATATGCACGGACTCTACACGCCTAGTGCAGATTCTGCGCCTACTGATCAGCAATGATACAGTGTGCACGAGAGGAGCAAACAGTTTCTACGCCAGGCTTCTCTTTTCTTCATCTCAACGCTGTTTGCCAAGGGTTACAGCAGCACTCAGCGATTGCTTGTTGTTGCCTCGAGCACACGCCGCCATCACAGGGGAACCATGCTTCTACCTATAGTAGACTTACCGCACTGTCACCTCAACTAACCTGCATGTCATACTGGGTCCTAGGGTTTCATTTCACGTATCGATCGCCTGCCTGCATCTCTCCCTGGCATGCGGGCCATGCATCTATGCATATTGACATTTGTGCGCTGTACATATACACATTTCTAGGCGGCTAATGAAACCCTACGGGCACGCGGCTACAGCGATGTAATAGGAATCGGTCCCTGCCTGCGATCATGCTACTAAGGCGAGAGCGAACAGTTAATACTCGGGCCCGCAAGATACCGCAGCCCAGCACCAAAGCAACGCGAGAAATGAGGAAATTTGGGAGAATGGGCGTTTTTAATCATGCATCGGGCTTCATATTCCAGATGCTTTGCTAGAGAGATCCTATGTAATTGTGCCAAACAGCAACTGATGCACTCGCGTATGCAAAGCAATGGCTTTATCCAACATATGTACGAACTCGTAAGTTTAAAATATTTGTAAGTAAAATATGTGATATTTTGGTGAGCTATTTTGCATAACAAATAATTTTCACAACTAACTAATATAATCAAATCAAATCGAGATGTGCACATAATCATTTTACCATAATTCCCAGCACCACAGATTCCCAGACTGTATCAATCAATGATGGACAGGTCAAAGTGCGCGCACACGCACTCACTCACGCCCACACGCACGCGTTCACGCACGCACACGCACACGCACACGCACACGCACACGCACACGCACACGCACACGCACACGCACACGCACACGCACACGCACACGCACACACACACACACAC